TAGTGCACCCCGTTGGGTCAGGGATGTCCCGGCGTCCTGCTGTAATGCTCTGCTCTTTCTGCACTGCTCCCAGCTGGCCTTTCCCACTGCCCATCTCTCAGCCCTGCTAGAGCAGCCAGCGCGCCCGCCTCTCCCAGTTTGTCCTATCAGGTCGCCGTGTTCTGAGACAGCCCAGTCACCTACAGCCCCATTGGGCTCCTTGGCTCCTCTGCTGAAACTTTGGGGAAAGGACTTGGGGCTAGGTCCTCAGCCTTGCCCCCAGTTATCTCCTGAGACCCCCTCAATCCTGAGCCGCAGGCTCCCACCCCCGCTCTTCTTGTTGAGGGACCGTGGCCTGCCAGGCACCTTCTCAAGCTGACATCCCGGGGGAAGTGGAAGGACCCCATGATGCTGATCCTACAGGGTGCCTGGCAGATAAGTGTCAGCAAGGCCCATAAGCATTGTCACCTGCAGCTCCCCCAGCTGTTGTGCCCACCTGGGGCCAGGTTCCGCCATAGAGAGGACTCAGCACTTGTGCTGAAACCTAACCCCTGGGACCTGAGCTGAAATCTGCCTGAGCCTTTCCATCGAATGGGGCTTTGGCTGGGGGCTAAGGGGGTGAATTCTTCACGCTGCTCAGCTTCCTCTCCCTGAAAGTAATTGGTATAGTCCCTGCTATCTCTGCTCCCCATGGCTCTGCCCCCTAGGTCTGCCAGAGCTACACTGCTTAGGGTTCTGCTTAGCCAAGCTCTGGGGGAGGGAGCCGAGGCCTGGCCCTGGCAGCCTCGCGTAGCTAGTCTGGCTCCAGGGCAGGGAGCCAGGGTCTGTCCCTCTTTGTGGGCCATGAACCCAAGGGCTGATCAATCCTTTCTCCCCAGCTGGCCCACTGGGGCTAAATGGGGCACCATTAGAGCCAAGAGCCGGTTCATATCTCCTTTGTTACTGGGCATGAGGTGAGAGGGGAAAACACCCAGCTTGACTCTCAGCTCCCCAGCTGAAGTTTCAGGCCAAGGGTAGGGAGATGGGCACAGGTAGTGGTTTGTAACTGGCATTTGTGGCCGGGGAGAATGGAGGGACACCCTGAACAGCCCCTCCTCCAAAGGTGATAGCCACTTGAGCCAAGCTAGAAGCCCAGTGCTCTGTATGGGGCAGGTAAGTCGCGCCCCAATTTGCCGCTCATGTTTCATTCGGCCTTGCTGATTTGAAACCCTTCGCCGTCCAGCCTGGCCCAGCTCTGGGGAGAGAAACTGAGTTAAAATAAAACCTTCCCACGGTTCCATCTGTAAAGCCAGCTTGCACACGGGAGGCCTGGATCCCCTTTACCCAGGGTCAGGTACTTTTCCTACACAAGACTGTGATCTGCTGCCCCGTCAGCGGCCAGACGACCCTCCAATAAAAGTCTCCCGTCCTGATTGCTCTTTGGCCCTTGGAACAAAACACGCAACACGTCTCTATGGTAAATCATTTCTGTTCCTCCCCTTTATTTCTCTGGTGAGGCACAAAGTGAGTGCGGATTGGCCTTTGTGCAGCAGCGGTGCTCATAGGGGTAGGGAGAGGGGAGCTGCTCCAGAGGTGGGCCCGATCCTGCTGCCCTAGACACTTGCCTTCTGTTTCAGTGGGTGGCTGGTGTGGGCCTGGCATTGGCTGCTGCCTCGTTTGTCTTAGGAGCCGGGTTGCAGTGAGTAAGGCCTGTGCTAGCCTGGGGTGGGCGCGGCAGGTTGGGATGGAGGGGCAGCGGCGGAGCTGTGGGCTGTGTGGTGGGAGTGAGGGGCAGGGATGGGGGGGCAGCTGAGTGGGGCAGGGTGATGGGGGGCTCTTGCGCAAAGCTGTCCTGTCCGTAGAATGAATTGGGGTGACCGCCCCAGGCCCCATGCTTTTCGGGGCCCTGCAGAGGCGGCCCCAACCCTTCTATGGATGGGGAGCGTACAGGGGCTTGGCGCGATGCTGGCGGCAGGAGTCACGTCTCCTCCCATCCTGTGGGTGGAGGGAGCCGGAGCGTCCCAGCAGCCTGCTGCACGCAGCTTCTCAGCTGTGGCCCGAAGCAGAGTGTCCCGCCCCAGGGTGAGCTGGTTCTCGCTGCCCATGGAGAACTGAAGTGCATTGGCAGCATGGGGGGCAGAGCAGGCTGCTGTGCTCCAGCTCCTGCTGCCCACGTGGCAAGTGCCCCCATTGCTCTGGGGCCCCATACCTGGGCACTGGTGGGGGTGTTGCCCCAGGTCCTGCACCGCAGCACCCTTGGGACATCCCTGCACCTGCATGCAGGAAGGGGGCTGTTCATGCAGTGAGAATGGGGCAATTGATAACCTGGGTCTGCCATGATGGGACAACAGGACTAGTGCTTCCCCTTGGCAGAATCCTGAGCAGCTCTGGGCCTGATCCTCCCCATACCTGGGCACTGGTGGGGGTGTTGCCCCAGGTCCTGCACCGCAGCACCCTTGGGACATCCCTGCACCTGCATGCAGGAAGGGGGCTGTTCATGCAGTGAGAATGGGGCAATTGATAACCTGGGTCTGCCATGATGGGACAACAGGACTAGTGCTTCCCCTTGGCAGAATCCTGAGCAGCTCTGGGCCTGATCCTCCAGTGACTGCCTCTGTCCTGCCCTGCCCCTGGTGCTGGCATGTCCCATTGCTCCACCATTCACCTTTGCTGCAGTGGAGCTTTCCCTGGGATTGTACGAGTCCTGCAGGCATCGTCTCCTTCCCTGGCCTCTGTCCAGCTCACCCAACTTCTGCTAACCCTTGACGGTCCACCCATGTGTGGAATAATTTTTTTTCATGCATGGAGGCACGTGAAGATGTGCACCACCAGGAGAACCACCTGCTACCAGCTGTGGGCACTCTGCTAATCCGCTGGGTGCCATTTGAATCTCTCCTGGGGGCTGTCCAAGTGCACAGCTTTCAGGGAACACTGCCACAGACTCCTGGCTACTTCTTCCCCACCTAAGTGAAATGGGGAGAAGGGGGTCAGATACCCATGCCAGGGGCTGGACTGAGAGCCCTGGAGACCTCTGGATCCCTCTCGTGCTTCGGAGGGGGGGGGCACTTTTGTACCCTGGACACATATTGCCAACTGAGCTGAGACCCATCGAATTTGTTCCATGCAGCCCACTTCATAGTAACAGTGTCTTAATTGCTGTAGCCCCTGAGGTTGCTGTAGCCGTCCAAAGGTTGACCAGGTTGGGCCTGCTTAGCTTGGGTGGCTGAAGAAATGTTTGGGCAGCAAAAGCCCTTGGTTGGGTTGGTCTCTTTGGTGACAGCCAAAGCTGTGGGCTGGGAGTCCTGGGATGTGGGTTCTATTTCTGGGTCTGCCCAGGGTTCCCTTGGGGGATTAAATATTTCTTAAGGCCTCAGATTCTTCTTTTCACTCTGTCCAGCCAATAACTTGTCAGGGCAGGGGCTTGGTCTCACTGGGCAGCACTCAGCATTGTGTGGCCCCAATCTTGAGGGCCCCCCGTGTTACCATCACACATGTAACAGCAATCAGAGCCCAATGACGTGGGTCCCATATGAGGAGAAATTAAAGAAACTTGGACTTTTCCGCTTGGAAAAGAGGAGACTAAGGGGGGATAGGATAGAGGTCTATAAAATCATGAGTGGTGTGGAGAAAGTGAATAAGGAAAAATGATTTACTTGTTCCCATAAGATAAGAACTAGGGGCCACTAAATGAAATTAATGGGCAGCAGGTTTAAACCAAATAAAAGGAAGTTCTTCACACAGCGCACAGTCCACCTGTGGAACTCCTTGCCTGAGGAGGTTGTGAAGGGTAGGACTATAACGGGGTTTAAAAGAGAACTAGATACATTCATGGAGGTTAAGTCCATTATGGTTATTAGCCAGTATGGGAAAGGAACGGTGTCCCCAGCCTCTGTTTGTCAGAGGGTGGAGATGGATGGCAGGAGAGAGATCGCTTGATCATTACCTGTTCAGTTCTCTCTGGGGCACCTGGTGCTGGCCACTGTCACCAGACAGGATACTGGGCTGGATGGACCTTTGGTCTGACCCAGTACGGCCGTTCTTATGTTCTTACTTTTCTGTCCAAGCCCTGCTAATCGCTGATAAGACGTGAGCCCTGTTAGAATACCATGAGAGGGGAGGGAGGCTGGGGTGGCAAAGTCCCTCACCCGAGGGGGTGTTGAAGGTGCAATGTCCTTTCCTGCTTTTAATGATCTCTGGGAGGATCTGAAAGCTAGTTACATTTCTCTGGTTAATTCACACCCACCTGGCTGTACTGGGACGAGGGCAGATGTTCATCTGCAGGGAAGATTTTGCTTTAGGGGACTAACATCTCCCATAAAAGGCAGCTCGTGGAAGGGGGGGGAAGTCAGCCGCTCCCCCAGCCCTGTAGTTACCATACCCCTGGGGGTTGGGCATTGGTGGGAATTGAACCTGTAACCTCTCCATTTGCAAAGGTGCCAGCCAAATCAAAACAGAGAGCCAGGGGGTTCTGTAGGGAGGAGCTGCAGAGCTCTAATTTTGGGGGGGGCCTCAGTCTGGGAAAGTGCATGGGGTGTGCCCCCCCACCAGGTTCCTTAAGGGCTTACTTTAGTGAGGGTTAAATGGGATGAGCATAGGCTGTGTATTCAGGGCAGCCAATTCAGCTATTTCTTGGTGCTAGAGTGGGGAGGAGGGGATTCTAGTCCCTGCCTGACAGGGACACAGGGCGTGTTTGGGAGGAACTTGATCTAGCCTCCTGATACTGTGCAGCGGGAAATGAACCCAGCCTCACCCCTGCACGCCCACCAGCCTCCCAGACCGAAGCATTGAGGTTACTGTCCCGTGGTGGGCTGGGGGGAGGTGGAGCTTTCAAAGGGATGCAGCGCCTAGGCGGGACACCCCAGGCCGGCCCCATGCCCCTGCACAGCAGACCCCACCCCATGACGAGCCGGATGTGGCGTCTCCCTTCTTAACATGTTAGTAAACAACAAGCTGAGCATGTCCAAAACCAACAGCTCTGCAAGAGTCACGGAAGGGGAGAGAGAGCTGGAGACGGGCCAGCCCACGAGGCTGTGGAGAGGACTGAGGTGGGGGGCAGCGAGCGCAGGCCATCCTGAGCATAACTGGTCCGTGCCTGAGTCTCGACTGTCCCGCTGGATCATCTAATTCTCCATCCCCGACAACCCTGAGGGCCCTTCTAAGGTTTCCATAGGTACCAGAGGGAGCGAGGTGCTTCCAAGCTCACGCCGGATACAAGCCTCCAACTCCCATAATCTGTGGCTGGCTGAGGAGGAGGAGAAAGGCCAGGCCCCTCCCAATCCACTTCACAGCTTCCCCTCCTCTATCAGCTTGTTCAGCCCTTGGCAGATCTTCTGCAGATGGGGCCGGTAGGGCTCCCCGGGGCTGTAGAGCTGGCTGAGCAGGTCGCAGTTGGCGAAGTGGTCGAAGACGTGGCGGATGCGCCCGTGGGACTTGGCCGTCAGGTGCTTCTCCACCAGCTGCAGCCCACCAGCCGGAGCAGCAAGTCCCGGCTGTCCTGCAGCAGCTGGGCCAGCACGTCCGGCTCGAAGGTGAAGTCCACCTCGTAGAAGCTGACGGCCGTCATGGCGCCCTGGTGCAGCTTGCGCTTGAACTCCTCCGCCAGGTCCAGCTCGCCGGGGCTGAAGCGGTTGTTGCGGTACAGCACGCTGATCTTGACGGCCACCTTGATGAGGTTCTTGATGATCTTCTGGGCCTCGGTCCGGTTCTGGGTGTGCAGCTTGGAGACCCGGTACAGCTCGTCCAGGATCTCGCTACTGGTGTCGTCCAGGAACACGTTCACCACCGACTTGCTGGCCATGCGGCTCAGGATCTTCTTCTCTGCCTGCATGGCCAGGTTCCTGGAGCTGAACGTCTCCATCGTGGCTGCGGGGGGGCAAAGAGACGCTGCTGTTAGGGGTGGAGAAGGGAGAACGGCAGAGGGCTGTCCATGCTCTAGTGCTGATCTAGGAAGGGGGAGATGCCATTCCTTTCTCCCCGCCTGAGGGTGCTTTGGGGGGAGAGGGGGAGCAGCGTCTCTGCCCTGAATCTCCAGGGGCCTCCCTCCATAGTCTCTGCCTGGCTTTAGAGAGCTGACAGCCCGACTCCAAGGGAGTATCAGCCCAACCTCCCTTCCCCATACGGTGGGCTAGGGGCTAACGCACTGGACTGGGATACCAATGATCTGCACTCTAGCCTGTGCGCATCTGAGAGTGATTCCCTCCCCGCTCTGTGCCTCAGTTTCCCCTGCTGTACGATGGAGCTGTTGCAGCCCTCCTCTGTAAAGTCTTAGGGAATATTTGTGACAAGGAGTCCTGTGGTACCTTATAGACTAACAGATGTATTGTGCAAAGACCCGCTTTGTCAGATTCATGTAGTGGAAATTTCCAGGCAAGTATAAATATGCAGGCCAGAATAAAGCTAGAGATAACGAGGTTAATTTAGTCAGGGAGGGCGAGGCCCACTTCTAGCAGCTGATGTGGAGGTGTGAACACCAAGGCTGTGTCTACACTGGCATGAATTTCCAGAAATGCTTAAAACAGAATAGTTTTCGTTATAAGTATTTCTGGAAAAAGAGCGCCTACATTGGCAGGCTGCTTTTCCGGAAAAGCCCTTTTTCCGGAAAAGCATCTGTGGCCAATGTAGACGCGCTTTTCCGGAAAAGAGCCCCGATCGTCATTTTCGCGATCGGGGCTTTTTTCCGGAAAAGACTACTGGGCTGTCTACACTGGCCCTTTTCCGGAACAGTGTTCCGGAATAAGGACTTATGCCCGAGCGGGAGCAGCGTAGCTTTTCCGGAATAGCGGCTGATTTTGTACAGTAGAGCACTAGGAAAAACTTCTTGTTTACTTAAGATCAGTAAATACAGAGTGTGTTAGGTTTATGTTTAGTCTTCTCTGGGAAAACTTAGTCGTATCATGTAGAAAATTATGAGCACATAATAGACTGTATTTTTCTGATAGTGTTAGGAACTAGGCCCAATCCAATCTGCTGGCCAGGCAGAGGAGTAGAGCACCGCTGGGTAGGGGGAAGTGCGTTGATTCTCGCTGCCGGGCTGCCTGCATACAGCTCCGGCATGAGGAGGCAAGACGCAAGCCAGAGGGCGGGATGCTGGCAGATGCTAGGAGACTGACGTGATGTGGCATTGTGACGTCATGGCTGGTGACCGCTGGATTTAAAATGGCTCCGGCAGCTTCACAAATTGGAAGTCAGAAGCCAGGTAGGGGAGGGGGAAGAGGCTTGTGCTGAGGGGAGCAGGTCAGGAGAAAGGAGAAGGCACCAAGGGGCAAGGTGTGTTCGGTATTTTTTGGGAGAACATCCCTACTTGCGGTCCGCAGCTGTTTTCTTTGGAGTAATATGGCCCTCGCCACTTTCCGAGTTGTGCAGGCCTGCGCCAACCTGAAGCAAATTCTCACCAGCAACTATATACCACACCACAGTAACTCTAACTCAGGAACCAATCCATGCAACAAATCTCCGTGCCAACTCTGCCCACATATCTACACCAGCGACACCATCACAGGACCTAACCAGATCAGCCACACCATCTCTGGTTCATTCACCTGCACATCTACCAATATAATATATGCCATCATGTTCCAGCAATGCCCCTCTGCTATATACGTCGGCCAAACTGGACAGTCCCTACGTAAAAGAATAAATGGACACAAATCAGATATTAGGAATGGCAATATACAAAAACCTGTAGGGGAACACTTCAATCTTCCTGGACACACAATTGCAGATTTAAAGGTAGCCATCCTGCAGCAAAAAAACTTCAAGACCAGACTTCAAAGAGAAACTGTTCATCTGCAAATTTGACACCATCAGTTTAAGATTAAACACAGACTGTGAATGACTAGCCAAGTACAAAAGTAGTTTCTCCTCTCTTGGTGTTCACACCTCCACATCAGCTGCTAAAAGTGAGCCTCACCCTCCCTGTCTAAATTAACCTCATTATCTCTAGTCTTATTCTGGCCTGCATATTTATACCTGCCTGGAAATTTCCACTACATGCATCTGACGAAGTGGGTCTTTGCCCACGAAAGCTTATGCTCCAATACATCTGTTAGTCTATAAGGCGCCACAGGACTCCTTGTCACTTTTGCAGATCCAGACTAACACGGCTACCCCTCTGATAGGGAATATTTGTTACCATCAGGCCTTCTCCAATGACCCTCCCCCGTCATTCCGCAAACATCCTCAGTTTGTTTCTTATGGCCCCCTTTACAGACAGCATGAGTTGGGGGCACAGCAAACAGCCTCTGTCCTTGAGTACCCTCTGCATCCCACCCCATTGCCATGAACAGCGCTGTCTTCTTTTTCCCAATGCTCCAGAGCAGCATGTGTTCCATTGGGCCAGTTGGTAGGGGGCAGCTGAGGTGGGGTGGACATGGCTCAAATTGTCCCTACACAGCCCGGGTACGCCACTTGCAAGTCTCACCCCAGGCTCATAGATGCCTCTGAAATTTAGTGAAACGCTGGTGAGACACGGCTGCCCCAGGCCCTTCGCACAGGTGTTCTGTGTGGCTCTGTAGCCCCATTAGCAGGGAATTTATTCCTGGTGAAACCAAGGGCCACTGGGTATTAATTGCCATTGACTTTGGTGCCAATTTACATAGAATCAGAGAACCATAGAGCCGGAAGAGACCTCAGGAGGTCATCAAGTCCAGCCCCCTGCTCTAGGCAGGACCAATCCCAACTAAATCAACCCAGCCAGGGCTTTGTCAAGCTGGGACTTAAAAACCTCAAGGGATGGAGATTCCACCCCCTCCCTAGGGAAACCATCCCAGTGCTTCACGCCCCTACTAGTGAAATAGTTTTTCCTAATATCCAACTTAGACCTCCCCCACTGCAACTTGAGACCATTGCTCCTTGTTCTGCCATCTGTCACCACTGAGAACAGCCTCTCTCCATCCTCTTTGGAACCTCCCTTCAGGAAGTTGAAGGCTGCTACTAAATCCCCCCTTGTTCTTCTCTGCTGCAGACTAAACAAACCCAAATCCCTCAGCCTCTCCTCATAGATCATGCATTCCAGTGCCCTAATCATTTTGGTCGCCCTCCGCTGGACCCTCTCCAATGCGTCCACATCCTTTCTGTAATGGGGGGCCCAGAACTGGACACAATACTCCAGATGTGGCCTTACCAGAGCTGAATAAAGGGGAATAATCACTTCTCTAGATCTGCTGGCAATGCTCCTCCTAATGCACCCTATTAGGCCATTAGCCTTCTTGGCTACAAGGGTGCCCTGTTGACTCATAGCCAGCTTCTCATCCACTGCCATCCCCAGGGCCTTTTCTGCTGAACTGCTACCTAGCTAGTCGGCCCCCAGCCTGTAACAATGCTTGGGATTCTTCCATCCTAAGTTCAGGACTCTATACTTGTCCTTGTTGAACCTCATCAGATTTCTTTTGGCCCAATCCTCTAATCTGTCTAGGTCACTCTGGACCCTATCTGTGACCCATCTTCTGAGGATCTGGCTGAAAGCCTGAGCAGGGCCCAGCTTAGGCAAACAAAGGGCACAATTTCCAGCTCTGCCGCACCCCCTCAAGTCCTGCCGTCTTGGAGGGGATGCCCTGGGAGCATGAGAACTTTACGTCTGGCTTGACCGGAAGGGGAGCAGATCCGTGGGTAGTCGAGGGCCAACACTGCTAACCGGAGTTTTACCCACTTCTCCTTTTGGGGCCTATGGCATTTGCCTACTTCTCCTCTCAGCACTTGCTCCTCTGATAAGCAGTGTGGCTGCACGACCCGCTCCCCCTTCCCCCAGTGGATGTGCGCGTGATCTACCAGCTGGTCATGCTCTGCAGTAGCTGTGGCGCGGGAACCGTGGCGAAGCCTGCAGCAAGCCGTGGCTTCGCAAAGCCTGCAGTGCACCGCACGTCGGCTGGACTGGAGTCATTTGCCGATGGCCACACCCTCTAGTTCACCCACCGTGCTGGGCTAAACCCTTTCAGAATCAGAGCCTCTCTGCACCCAAGTACCTGGAGTGCCAGAAAGGCTCTTTTGCTTTGCCCAATTCTGGATTTAATGCCAGGGCAGCGAGGGGCAGCCGGGCTGGGTTTGCAAGTAAGGATTTGCCAGAGAATGGTCTGAGACTCCTTTGGCACTGCCACGTATCTGGAGGCCGACTGGCTCATGGGTCCTTTGCAGCTGTGCCAGTCTAGTCACGAGAGCTGCCCTCGATTGTACTGGCTTTCGGGGGTGTCAGTCCTGGTGTTAAATCCAGATCTCTCTCTCCCTTTGTGATACAAACCACTAATCCCGGCAGGGTGCCCCGGGTGCTCCTGGGCGCTCTGTTATTGTGCTTAGATCTCAAAGTGCTCAACAAAGGAGAGGCAATTTGGCTATTGGGGAAACTGAGGCAGAGTGCCTTGCTCCAGGTCATCCATCTGGGAATGGAAAATAGGTCTGGAGTGCCCCAGGCCAGTGCTCTGTCCACACAGCCACCCTTTGGTAAATAGTTACAGTGCTCAGGACAGAAAGAGCATCCTGGACTATGCAGTGGAAACCTGCCTAGGTTAGCAGTACAATTAAAATGTGGCATTAGGCCCACAAAGTTCACTTAATGGCAAGAGCCATTGGCATGGTGGGGGTGGGGGCACTGTCCCCATACCCCAGAGATAACTGGTGCAAAGCCATGCCCTGCTGACCCCCAGCCTCCTTCTGAGCTGCAGGCTGGCCCAGGGGTTGGGGTGCTAGCTTAGCAGACCTGGATTCAAGTCTGTCCTCTGCCACAAACTTCTGCTGTGACCTTGGGCAAGTCAGCTAGCTGCTCAGTGCCTCAGTTTCTCCACCGGCCCAATGAGGATAATTGCCCTGCCGCACAGAGGTGTTCTGGGGAAACGTTACAGATGGCGAGGGCCTCAATTCGTATGGTACGGGGG